TTTTGATCTTTGTGACTTTTGCCAGCAAAGCCCAGAGTCTTAGTCATTAGCAATAGCAAGCTAAAATTGCCAGGCGATATCTTCTTTTCTGTTGTATCGTCAAAAGGAAAGTTTTGTTTTGCATTTTCCTAATATTGACACCTAACCAATGCTGCATACACTTACTTGGCAAAATTTTGCGCATATTTCTTATCCAGCGTAATTGCCCCAGTTAGAGTGTCAACTTCTTTTTGGAGTTCTTTTTCCATGTCACAGTCATATTCCTGGAAACCATACAAATTACAAATCCATAAAAATTCTCTCACTTGCATTTGCATTTTAATTGCTGATCTTATTAAAAGCACAAATCATCAATTTTCGTGGTTAACTTACCAGCTTATAAATGTTCGATCCCTGTGGCAAAAATCCTCTGTAATTTTCACCTGCACCCTTAGCTACTTTTGATCGAATGTCGTTGATAGCCTTGAGCATCGCTTCTCTCTCTGGATCTGTTGGAGGATTTGCCCCATGTGGGCAAGCTAAAAAGCACTGGTTGTTAGATGTTAAAATGCATAGACCGTTATCACGCTCTGACTGATTAAAAGGGAAGGTAATTTTTGAAAATTTGGTTGGCAAGTAAAAATCGACGTTGCTGGCACCATTTGTGAACGCATAACTTTGCTCAAACAACTTTTCATTGATTGAACTGTCCTCCTGCTTCTATGCATCTTTGCCAACAAAATAAAAGCTTTATTATACTGGAAACAAGAAAGCTCGAATTAATAGAAGGGGAAAACTTTGAATTCTTTTCAATATGTTCCCTTTGTGAAGTTTTTTGAAAACTAGCGTGAGAGTCTTGAAAAGATGATGGGCAGATGGCAACAAGCTGAATGACTATGAAGGGTGAGGAAGAGCTTTCTAACCCAAACCAACATTTTTGCAGGCCAGGAGTAATAGGCCATGCGAATTGTAAGAAAGCAACAAATTTGCTGCAATCCTAGTTTAATCTTCCAGAATTTTTGCTGTCCTTGTCCGATATTGTGCACATTGTTTATCTACACAACATACTCCTTCCAAAACTGCGTTCACTGCACCACTTGTGATACCATTACCTTTATCAGACGAAAAGCTGTCTTAAACATGGACTGAAGAATCTCATTTGCAACAAATTACTTATCTGTTCATTTACGATTGTCGCATATTTTTCTTCATATGTACGATAACCAAAAACTTTCATTGGGCGCATCTTCGTGCCAACAATTTTTAACTGGTTTAATTGCGCTCCTAGCTTTTGAACTGACGCTGTAATGCATACACAGTAACAGAACTTATGCTAAATGCTATCTTCATACTGAATATCATGAGTGTCGTCGTGGTCTCGCTCCTATGCTTTCGAAAGAAAAATTAGCAAAAATTTTGAAATTTCAATCTGAGCGCAACGCTTCCTATGGAGATCCGTAGCCAAAAGCAGTCTTTACAGAAAGATTTGACATACCAGTCGCAACGAATTCACACATAGACGCAAGTGTATCAGTCTTGTTAATAAAAGGGGCTCATTAACTTCCGTATTTGATATATAGCAGAAGAGTAGAAG